TGGCCGTGCGTGATGTGGAGAAGAACTTTGATAAGAACGCCAGTTTATACTGCTCCCATGTTTGTATTGAACCCCTCGGGAGGTTCTTTTCCCACTGGTGAGCTTTATCACCGAGGCTGAATGGGAACAGGCGTAGCTTGAAGCTATCTTCTGACACGCCATTAATCTTTGTCAGGTCGCAAACCCGATCAAACTGATCAAGATGTTCAAGAGGGTCCTCTCCGGGTAGACCGTGAAACTTTTTGTTCTGCACCATATTGAGCAGGGAAGCTTTAACTTCAAAGTTATTGTTTTTCACAGGTGGTGCCTGAATCCCGGCTCTATATTGGTGTGCGTTAGCTCGGTCGTTTTCTCCAACAAAGACCGGAGGAGGTTGTCTCTGAGCTGGTGGCGGAGGCGGATGAACATGATGGGCTTGCTGCTCATTTCTATTTGCTTGGTGTTGATTTTGCTGAGCAAGCCTTTCATTTCTTTGAGCCTGTTGTTGGTTAACGAAGGCTTGTTGTTCATTTCTTTCTGCCTGCGCCTGATTAGCCTGAGCCTTGTGCTCGGCATCTTGAGCTTGCTGCTCTATCCTTTGCTGTTCTGCCATTCCAAGCCTTTCAAAGTGCCGTTCTCTCTCGCGAGCTCGCCTTTCGATCCTGTTGATGTTATTGTCGTAGGGCAGAGGTGGTTCTGTGCTGCGAGATCTGGTTTTCATGCACCTGAAAACAAAGCCAGAACTTGCAAAAGAGTTAGTAAAACAAAAGAAAGTAGATTCTTGATCATAAGAACAAATAAGAGACTAATGCTCCCACAAGTTGGCAACGGCGCCAATTGATAACTAAGAGTTTTTGAGGCTCTTTGTAGAGGTTATCAATCCCCTGTCTTGTAGTACAAGGGGTTATCAATCCAAACTTGCGTGTGAGATACTAGTCTATGTTACTTGTGGTCTTAAGTCAAGATGAACAGGTAAAGGTTTTTTACTAATCTACTTAACAAGCAAGTAAACATGAAAATGAAGCAAAAGATGAGATTTAAACTAGCTGAAGATGCAAGTGATCAATAGTAAATAAGCAAATGATTCGGATGATGATGATATATGATAAAGGCAGAAGCTTTAGACAGGATATGTGACTCGGGTGCTTCCAAGCTAGACTAGTAAGTTAATGAATCAGATTTATCAAGTAGTTTCATTTAACATGAACTCAAAGTATGTTAATCTTCTCATGAAATCATTAAACACCTAAATTGATCCTCTTTCATACCAAAATCCCTTTTGAGAAGCATGAATCAGCCAGCTTTAAGATTCAGTTCAATAAGTCATTTAAGAGAACAAACTATCACTCTCGCGATGAAAGACTCTTAAACCCTTAACCGAGTGGTTCAGACATTTCTACAAACACTTTTGATGCGAGATATGTCTCAGATCTGAACCTCAAGTGATGTGCTTGGATCCAGCTTAGAGATCTCGTCGGTTAAAGAATGAAACATGCAAGACTAGACACCTAAACCCACTAATCTATCTTGAAAGCACCCTAATCTACCTATCTAAAGCCGCTTAAACGACTACTCACTGATCATACCGAGCTCACTAAGTCCTTTGCAAGACGTGTAGCTAGTCATGATAAGGAGTTTAATGCTGGAGAAGAAAAGAAATAAAACAAGAACAAGATTCTGATGCAAAAACGAGATATCGGATTAGATTAATCAAGTTTCACAAAAGAGGCAAGTTCTTAAAGCTAAAAGATGATAAAAGATAAGATGATTAGGTTTTTCGTCCTAAAATCTATTTATAGTGAAGGGAAAGTGTTGCGGGTCAGCCCGGAACAAACCGTGTACTGAGCCGCCTTCTTGGGTTTTTGGGTGAGCACCACGGTGTGTTGGAGTGTGAAGCCGAGGCCTTGATGGCGAGAGGTGAACGTGAACAAAGATTAAGATGGAGATCTCGTGAAGAACACGTCAAGAACATGCATGAACCCTAGTCTTCGATCCATCTTCACGTGTGTACTCTTAAGTCACCTTGTTCTTGATTTTGGAGTTGTGACAAGGGACCTCGCCATATAATGCCGAGGAGCCTGGTAGTCGAGAGGTTCAGGAAGACGGAGTCCGGCATGCAATGCTGAGGTCTTTGTCCCGAGGTGCATGTTCAACACTTAGTCGTTTTCAGCTTTACTTCTCTTGTAAGCATACCTTGATTTTCAACATACCGAGGGATCAGTACGAGGTGTAGCCCAAAATGCTCTCAAGAGATGAGCCTTGGCCTGAGCAGTGTCGAGGTAGCGATGTCTAGGCTCGAGAGAATACTTAGCGCGTATCGCAACTCATTTGGGCTCGTATCGACCCGCTTGTCTTCCGGAAGCAATAACTTTCAGCACACGACTCCAAATGCTTTGAGACCAGTTCCAGTCAAGATGACTCATTCAGCTCAAACTTTGGTGAAGAAACCATTGGAGCTTGGGAGGTGGAAGGCTTCCTGGATTGCTCATCTTTGCACCGCATTGGAATGACCGGAAAGTACAGCTTTTGGACCGATGTGTACTCCGGAGACGGTATCTTCCAAACTACCGCTCCGAAGTGAGTGACTTCAAGCGTTCCGGAAGGAACATTCATAGAGCTTGAATATTGATGAAGGCTCTGTAAACTGGTTTGAATCGGAAGGGTTCCGTCCCACGTAATCTTTGAAGCTCAGCTGATCGGCGTTCGGGTGCATGCGAGACAGGCATGTTTTCCGGAGGCGATATCTCTCTTCTCACTGGTCCGAATTGCATGATTCCAACTTTTCTAAGATCTTGGCTTGATTATCTCCAACTTTGATGAAGACCCCGTCAACTGGTTCGGACTGGAAGGTTCCCCGGATTGGTGATCTTTGAAGTGCGCGGGTGAAAATAGATTTTGGCCGAGAAATGCTTCCCGCGGTAAGGAAAATGTCCGAGAATCATGTACCGCGGTAAGCTTTTTAGCCGATAAATCTTCTCGCCTCGGCGTAAAACTTCACCCGATGGGATTGTCACCCGATACTCATTTTTAGCCGATAACGACCGTTCGGTAATGATTTTGGCCGAGGTTTTCGTCCAGCCGGTACGAATTTTGGCCGAGAAATTCCTCCAAGCTGTTTTCACCATTTTTGACCCTTTTCTTTACCGCTTTCATTCCATATCCTCCTCTTAAGCTCCAAATAGCCTCCAAAGCACCTGATAAAGACTTCAAAACATGCAAGACTCTTTGGAACCTAATGCAAGTCCTAAAACCTATTTTGATGCCTAAAGACTCAATATACATGAGAAAACACATGATATGGACTCTAAAATGCAGCCTAAATGATGCAAAATATAGACATATCACTAGTAGACTTCAGTATACTTCACGAGAAGTGTACTTTCGCGATATGAAAACTGAAATGTGGAGAAATTGAAGTGCGAGGATTACTTTTAACAAAATTGAGCTCGCCCACGGTTCTCTTAAGCACTAGAACTCATGATTTCACCGAAAATAAACAACCCAGGTGTCGAGTAACCAGAAATCACCAAAAATACATGGCCTAACGCATTGTAACTTAGCCCAGATGTTTTGGAGAAGAAATTATGAAAGAATGAGCAAGGTTATGAGTGAATGAGCTCAGATATTTACTTATTACAGCTTTAAAATTGGTTGAGAAGCATTTATTCCCATTTCGTGGTTGTTCATGGTGGTTGAAGGAATTGAAAAAGATGGCATTTTTGTAATTAAAGGTCTTTAGGAGGACCAATGAGACTTTAGCCAAATTAAGGAAAAATCGAAATAATAGATGTATAATGGCATTTTCGTTAATAATTTAGGTGGGAAGGATAAAATTGTGACAAAATGGCAAAAGTTGGAGAGACAAAAAAAAGAGCTTAGTTTGGTGTTTGACTTTGAAATATAGGTTATAGCAAATATTTCTGAAGTTGTCGACAAGAGAGAAGGATAGATAAAGACTTTTTATTTTAATTTTTGCTTTATCTTTAGCTAATAAATTACAAAGGGTAGAAGAAGGAGATATTTTTTCTTTCAACCAATCTAAAAGGTAAGAAAGTGTTAGGATATCAGAAAATGATATAGAGTGTAATTAAAAGTCAAAAAGTAATATGGAGTGTAAACAACTCTATATATAAAACAAATAAAAAATAAAAAGTCTATCTCTCTCCTTCTCTCTTGTCGCCATTACTACCACTATTTTTTTTTTTTTCCTCTATTTTCCCCAAATTTCTATCCTACATATTTTATTTTATTTATTTTATTTAAAATAAATAAAAAGAAAATAAAATAAAATAAAATAAAATATGAGGGATATAAGTTTAGGGGAAAGAGAGGAAAGAGAAAAAAATAAAAAAAAATAAACCAAATATTTTTGAAGTTATCGACATGAGAGAATGAGAAAGAAAAAATTTTATTTTTCTTTTTGTTTTATTTTTAATAAATTACAAATATAGAAGAAAGAGATAATTGTCTTTCAGCTAATGTAAAATGTGAGAAAATATTAGGATAGCAAAAAGTGATATATAATATAATTAAAAGTCAGAAAGTGGTATGGAGTGTAAACAATTCTATGTTTAATATATGTAATATGGTTTATAATTATAATAATTACGTTTAATATTTATTGAAATCAAACAAAACCAATTATTGTTTACTTTTTGAAATAAAATAAAAAACATTAGGAAACTTAATATTAATTTCAAGTTTATTATAACATTTATACATCTTCATGATTCAGTAAATGAAAATAATAAAAATTTTGCGAAAATTAAATTAATTATTTCTCAAAAAATGAAATGAAAAGTTATGATGTTTCTAAAATTCAATAAATCTAGAAATCGAAATCTAAATAATCACGAATAAACCATCACCATGAACTGTGTCTGTTATTATGATTGCGAATGTTTTTAAGATTGCAATGTTTTTATGATTGTAAAATTAAATAATTAGTCAGTTTTAGTTAAAAACTAAATTATTTTGTTAATAATTTTTAGATATAATAATGCCCGCGCCACCTAGTTGTCAGATAATCCATATTACATTCACTGATATTTTATTAAATTCTAGAAGGCTAGAATCCTCGTAAGAGATATATCTTTTGATACAGCTACATAGAATTTACAATAGTTATCCGGCATGATTACATAGAAAAGTCATATCTGAGATAAGTTACAATACCAATGTATGGAGTCATGAGATAGTAGTGTGTCTCAGTTCTGCATCCAAGTTTTCTTCTCCTTCCTTTCTATCTGACTCAATAAGCATGAGAACAACTTGTCGCATCGATGGCCTTGCGACGGGAGACACACTCGTGCAAAGCAATGCAATTTTCAACACAGTGAGCATATGGGAGACGATTCGCTCGTCTTCTAGCTTTAACCGAGCATCGAGAACTCCAGATGACAATGCATCTCTTCTTATGTAACTCCTCACCCAACTCACCACATCCCCACCTTGATCTATCGGCTGAACCGGTGCTTTACCAGTTACTAGCTCCAACAGAACCACCCCGTAGCTATAGATGTCAGACTTCTCTGTAACTTTCATGGTATATGCATATTCTGCAAAATTATAAAAAGTTTCAGTTTAATTACTCTCACCTAGAATAGGCTAAAGCATCGAGTACTCGGCTCGGTTTGGTTTGGTTTGGATTGTTAAAATTATGTTTTAGATTTTAGATTTTACAAAAAATAGTTACAAATTTTATTTTGGTTTAGATTTAATTTATCTGTTCGGAATCAGTTCGGTAAACCTGCAACGAAAACTAAGATTAATTTTTCAACAATGAATTATTTTAAAAATATATATATTGAATATATTGTTTTCCAGTATGGTTAACTAAAATAGTGTTTTTTTAATAGATTTCTATTGATTGGGGAAGGAGGTTGCATAAACTTAAAAAAATTTGTTCCAATTGATTGGAAAAATTTTCATACCAATTTATATACCGTTTAATGATAAAAATTGGCTCAAATTGGGATTGATCAATTTTGTTTCGGTTCAAGAATTTTGTCCACTCTTAACCGTAAAACCAAATTGCACAAACTGAGTAAAAAAAAAAAAATACCTGGGGCAATGTAGCCATAGGAGCCAGCAATGGCTGACATGGATTTTGAATGTGGCATATCAATAACTTTTGCTAATCCGAAATCACCCACATGAGCTTCAAACTTGTCATCAAGCAGGATATTATTTGATTTAATGTCACGGTGAAAGATCCTCGGCTTGCAATCATGGTGTAAATACGCAAGACCCTCAGCTGCACCAAGAGCAATTTTAAATCTTATAGACCAAACCAAGTTGCACGAAGGATCATGTAGTATTTCTCCAAGGCTTCCTCTGGGCATGTACTCGTACAGAAGCATATTTGATCCTTGGTGATTGCAGAATCCATGTAACTTGACGATGTTTCGGTGCCTGATATTCCCAAGAGTTAGTATCTCTGCTCTAAAACTGTTATCCACATTGTTGTTGTTTCCACCTTCGTTGTTTGATGCTAGCTTTTTGACAGCTAAAGTGTACCCGGCGGGCAAAACCGCCTTGTACACGGTTCCACAAGCTCCTCTCCCAACTACAAAACTCTCATCGAAATTATCGGTGGCTGTAACTAAATCCTGGAAAGTGAATCCTTCCTTTGGTGGGAAGTAAATGTCGAGAGACGTTTCTGACGGTTTACCATCTTGGATTGAAGAAGTGACAGTCCTCACCGGGCGTCTGATGAGGTAGACGATAAGAACAATGAGTATAAGAGAGACCCCGCCAATTGCAGCTGCGGTGATGGCTATGATTTTGCTGGAACGGATTCCTGTCGGCTTTGCGGTCGACTGAGAAGGTGAGGAAGGCTGTGTTTGGATACACTGGTTGAGCGGCGGGCCGCAAAGTCCTTCATTACCAATGAAGCTAGAAGTGGACATGTTACGGAGAAGTGGAATAGGACCAGTCAAGTTGTTGTATGAGAAATTGTAACCAAACAAGCTGGAGAGATTAGCAAAAGAGTTTGGTATTTCACCAGACAAATTGTTGTTGTTGAGGAGAAGTAACTCAAGCATAACAAGATTACTTAGCTGAGAAGGTATTTCTCCGGTAAACTTGTTGTAACTGAGGTTCAATGCTATCTGCAAACCAGTCAAGCTTCCCAACTCTCTTGGAATGCTACCATAGAACAAGTTTCCGCCCATTTGTAGCTCGGTTAAACGAGATAGATTCCCTAGAGCCAACGGTATCATACCCGAAAGTTTATTATTCGAGAGCTTCAGAAGCTCAAGCTGGTAAAGAGAACCTACATCTCTTGGTAAAGTTCCAGAAAAATTATTGCAGCACATGTCAAGTCGTTGGAGCATCTTGCAATTGAAGATTTCAGAAGGGATCTCTCCAGTAAGCTTATTAGATGAGACATTCAAGGTCCCAAGCTCTAAAAGTGTGCAAATCTCTTTAGGAAGCACGCCCGTAAAGCCATTGTCTGCTAGCTGTAGCCTTTGCAAGGCGCTGCAGTTCCCAACTTCCCGAGGAATGGAACCACGGAATCTGTTTTGTCCCAACTCAATGGCAGTGAGATTAACCAGTTTACACAAGTTCGATGGAAATCTACCAACGAGATTGTTTCCTGCTAAACGAAGTTGAACCAGAGTTTTGCAAGTGGTGATGCTAGTAGGAATGTTGCCAGAGAGGTTGTTTGCACCTAAGTTCAAGATGACCATATTGGAATGAAAGCAGAGGTAGCTTGGGATTCTTCCTCTGAGATGGTTATCTGACAGATCAAGCACCCAGAGATAGCTATACACGCCAAGTTTTGGAGGAATGATCCCACCAAGAGAATTCTGAAACAGCTGCAGCATGAATAGCCCTCTTAAATACTGAAACCCCAAAGGAATAGTACCAGTTAAAGCATTGATGGAGAGATCAAGCTTTGTTAGATTCTTCAAAGTAGTAAGCTCCACTGGGATGGTACCAGTGAGGTGGTTCTCGAAAAGATAAAGAAGCTCCAGCCCTTTTATGTTCTCAAACTCCAATGGTATCTCTCCGGTCAAACCGTTCTCTGAGAAATCTATCTCAATTGCACTTGAGAGATTCCCAATCTCTCTTGGGATTGTTCCATTCAACCCATTTCTGTAAAGGTAGAGATACTCAAGCGACGCAAGGTTCCCAATTTCTTTCGGAATCGGCCCAACAAGCTGGTTCTTGTAGAGAGCAAGAGTTTTTAAACTTGTGCAATTTGTAATCTCCCTTGGAATAAACCCGGACAACTGATTTTCCCAAAGAATCAGTTGTGAAAGTTGCTTGAGCTTACCAATCTCTTTTGGTATTTCACCGCTCAACTGGTTCTGTGCAAGACCAAGCATGGCCAAGCTCTTACATTCACCAATCTCAGAAGGCAAACTTCCAGAAATCATGTTCTGACCAGCTCGAAAGCTTGCCAGTTTTTTCAGCTTGCCGATGGAATGTGGCAATGATCCACTGATGTTGTTGCTGTAAGTCACTAGTTGAGAGAGAGACAAGAGGTTCCCAATCTCCATAGGAAGAGACCCTGTGATTCTGTTGTTGAATATGATCAGCTTCTCCAAAGACAAAAGCTTTCCTATTTCCACAGGTATCTCACCTTCAAACTGGTTATTGTTTAACCTAAGAACCTCCAAGCTTGAACAATTCCCAATTTCCTTAGGAATATTACCTGATAACCCATTATATGACAGATCTAGATCCGTGAGATGAAACAATCCACCTATACTTGGTGATAGGTTACCCGAGAGAGCCATCGAGGAGAGATTCAGTGACAAAACTTCTGGATTGGAATAATTGCCGCAACTCACACCGGTCCATCCACAAGGTACAGAATCAGTTGAATTCCAGTTTTTCAAATTCTGCAAATCATCCACAAACTTGCTCTTGATGTCAAGAAGATATTGACCTTCTAAATTCAACCCTCTCGTCTCAGATATCAAAAGGGAAAGAAGAAGAAAAAAACATTTGGCAACAACAGTAAGCTTCATCATCTCCTTGACGGTTCATTCACACACAGAATCGCTTTAGTCTTCCTTACAAGACATCAAACAAGATGTTATCATACCATAAAGATTATCCAAGAAAAAAGAAACTCAATTCATCTGAGCATAACTAGAATATCGAAAAGAAGAACATAGACCCTAAACCATGGATCTAAATCCAAAACACCTACCTCTGAAGATTCTAGGCAAAAAAGCGACTTTTGAAACTGGTTTCTTGATGAGAAAAAGCGAGAAAAAAAAAAAGGAGATGCAGACCTTCCAAGAAAACAATATTTAAAGGAAATGGTCCAGGCATGATTAGTTTTTTTGATCATTGAGAGCTTTGAAGTTTGAAATTCGCTTTTTCCCTCATTAAAATAATCTCTATTCGTACTGGCCTGCGTCTTTTAATATTAGTTTCAGAAGCCTTCAAGTGTAATGGACTATCAACTTTGCTTATATTTATTTCAAGTTAAAAAAGAACCTGAATATTCGTTTTGTCTTTGTAGCTACAACAAATAAAAAATAATTACTGTAAGTTAAAAGTAGAATGCTTAATTCTTTTTTTCAATCTTATAAGAATGCTTAAATAATTTCGTCTTTTTAGTAGTTTCCAACAATAAAAAACGAGTTTCTTAAAAAATACGGTAATTTTAAGTTTTTAATTGGCTAAAAAGATATGTTTTTAGATGTATATATTTCAAGTAGTTTTTGAACAGTATTAATTTCATAATGCCATCACTGCCTTTATTAGACAAAAGGATGAGAGATAAACAGTTAACAAAAAAAACTTGTTTTCTTATGGAAGAATAATCTCGCATACTCCTTCTGCAGTAAAAAAATTCTCAAATCTCCTCCTCATAATATTTAATTTGTTTTCGATTTATTTTAAAGCAAAAAAAAGGGAGAAAACGGTCAAATACTTGGAGGTTCTTACTAAAATTTCATATTTACTAACCCAACCACGAAGATCCACACTCAATCTGTCATATCGGGTTGAATCCGAAGAAATCGGGTTTTCGGACAAAAATGAGGTAAGTCAAACCTTAAATTAAAAAAAAAAAAAATCAAATTTCGCAATCGTCCTCTCGTCGTCGTCTTCGTCTAGTATTCTTTGGGACAACTACAAGTGATTTTCTGCGCCTGTCTTGAATCAACGCCTCGCTAAATCAGGTTCGTTCCTCTTCGTCCTCTGATTTCTAATTTCTATCTAGATTACTTTGTAGATTTGAACTTGGTTTTGTGTAGAATCCAAAAATTCGATTTATATGTTCTCTATTCGGTTGGTAATTACAAAATATGAGTCATGGATTTAGGCAACGAAAGAGTGTTTAGATATGCTAGACTAGAACTGTACTCAGATTTCGAATCATCGCAGGAGAAAATAGTATAAGGAGTTGCCGAATCAGAGACGGGTAATAATCAGATAGTGTTGTGGAGAGGAACTGAGGCTGAGGCTGAGGAGGAGGAGAACCAGCCATTGCCACCCGTTAGAATGTTCTTCGAGCCCAGTCAGTATCATAATGCAATAAAGCTGGGAACAAGATGTTATATCCACAAAGCTGTTGCGAAATTGGAGTCCCTAGACCTTGAATCCCATGAGCTGTTATGGTTTACAGAACACCCACAGTTCAAGCACTTTTGGCATATGCATAGGGCCATGCATGAGGACACAACACACAAGATGATGGGAATGTGGTTGCTTCTTCTTCGGACAGCAAACACAAATAAGAAGAGGGAAGCCTGGTTTGTAGTGAATGGCGTACCAATTCGCTATTCCCTTAGAGAGCATGTCATTTTGTATGGGTTAAACTGTCTCCCGTACCCAGAGGACTATGAGAGCATAGGAAGTTCTTCGTTTAAGAATATATATTTTCAGGAAACCGTCCCCTCCCTTGCTGCTGTTGAGAAAAAGCTAGAGTCGATGCGAGGGCTTGTTAATCCTGTTCGGTTGAAGATGTGTGTCGTCTACCTCTTATCCTCTATAATTAGTGGGAAAACGAAAACCGGTAAGGGAGCACCATCTGTTGACCCCTTATTCCTGAGGATTGTGGATGATCTCGAGGCTTGTAAAAGGTTTTCTTAGGGTAAGTATTCATTCGATGTAAATATGAAAGAAATTGAGCACACAATGAGGCAAAGGGGTCGTCGAAACAGATGCCTGGACATTTCCAAGCTTTGTTACTTCCTTGGAGGTATGTCACATTATAAAGAATTTGTAACTATGTAATACTATGAGCTTAAGTGTAATTTGTTGGGTTTATGTGTAGTTGCTAGCCTTTGAGGCCATCCCATGTCTGAAGAACAAATACAAAGAAGATTTAGAGAAGCAGAGAGGGATTGTCCCCGGATGTGCAGGCAGAAGTTCCAACCATTCACCCTAAAAGGTTTTCCTTTGTCGGAACTCTATGAAACACTGGGTAACCCTAGGGTCATCGAGAGTATATTGCAACCATCCGAGGATGAGGTAATTATGCTTGCTGGAGTCATGGAGAGGAATGAAGAGGAAGATATTGTTCCTGAAAATTGGACGAGGCGTTTAGTTGAGGAAAAGAAGCCGATATTTTGGAAAGAGATATGCAAGATCGATGTTGATGCCCGAGATAATAAGGAGTGGGTAAACCATCCTGTAGCGGCTAAGAATAATGTGGGGACGGAGAAGGTGGCGCCTCTTGGATTGGTGGAACAGCTTCAGAGCTTGCAGAAGAGTATGGACGCTCAGTTTCTCCGAATCAGTGCTCGAATGGATGGCTTTGATACAAGACTCTGCTCTGTAGAACAATATGTAAAAGAGACAAGAAGAGAAAGGGAAGGACCAGGAGATGAGGGAGAAGAAGTTTTCCGAAATGATGTAGAACATGAACATGAACAAAGTGGAGAGAAACTTGAAAGTCTGGTGACAACTGAGAAAGCGAGGAAGCAGAAACAGCCAAAGAAGAAACAGCTGAAGCAGAAGCCGAAGAAGAAGCAGAAGGAGCCGGAGCAGAAGGAGTCGGAACAGAAGGAAGCAGAGCAGAAGGAGGCCGAGCAGAAGGAGGCGGAGCAGAAGGAGGCAGAGCAGAAAGAGCCGGAGATGAATGAGGCAGAGCTGAAAGAGGCGGAGCTGAAAGAGGCAGAGCAGCTGTAGCCCGATCTCCGTACCTGCTTAAAAGTAAAGAGGTATTGAAGTTTGAAGAATAATATCCATTGATTTGGTAATACTTAATATTTTGTGGTAACACTATGTTGTATTACTTGGTATGTGTATGTAGAACCAGACGGTGCTGACGTTGTGAACGCAGAAGTGGGTGCACGTAAACGGAAACAAGAGCAATCAAAGCTAGGGCCAAACACAAGGCAGAGACGTTAAGTCTCATATGACATTTGATATATGTATTTGTATTTGGATTAAACTGTATTAGGGTGTGTACTTCTATTTTTATTATTGATTTTGGATTATTGAAAACCAAATATTGGGAGAACTTGGTATTATTGGTGAAACCACATATAAATGGTATAACCTAGTTTTATTAGGTGTAACCATCTTAGTATTATTTGGTGTAACCACTTATATATGTAGAATACTAGGCCTAAACAGTTTGAGTTAAAATTATTAGAATAATATTTGTACACAATATAAGGGAGTACAAAACATTACGAATTGTGCACATACTGAATCCAGAACATAAGGAAGTACAAAAAACAAAAAACATAAGACATAAAACATCAGACACATTCACCAGTTGACCTAAAAACCCTAACTACCCGGTACACATATAGGAAAAACCTTCCGCATTCGCGAGTTAAGAACCAGTAGTTGCAGATGTTCTCTGGTTTATACTCATCATTCCACCAACGCTCCCATCGGTTAACTGTACCGCACGGACAGTAGATAAGAGTATTGAGGCGCGGTAAAAAGCGACGGTGGCATTCATCGAACATCTCTTGCAACCCCATTGGCCAACCAAGATATACTTCTTCAACGAGCTCGCGGGTGAACTTCCTTATTGTTTCCCGGATTAGTTTGATGAGGTACTCATCACCCTCGGGATGTTCCATAACAAGTTTCATGAACATCCCGTAGACATATACTGCACGTGTGTACCCTCTATCCGCTGCATCCTTGATCAGTAGAATCCCTCCAAAATCGTGTCGATGAAAAAAGAGTTGCATACCTCACATGAAAAGCATGCCTGGATATCGTGCATTATAGAACTCTCTGATGACATCAATGATAAGATGGACATCTTGATCCACTGGATGATCCATATTAAAGGGATCAACTTCAGCGTATAAGCCAGGGCCTCTGGTGCAGTCGTTGAACCTATGACAAATCGAGCGAATCCCTATTAGGTCACCAATTGTGTTAGCCGACTTTGCTAGAACCTTTTCCAGTAGTTCATCTGGTAGGACTAGTAGGTAGGAGTAGTCTGCCATGGATTTATATATGAAAGTGGTCGAGGCCGAGTTTTGTGTTCTGAAACCTTAAGAGAAAATGATGGATTTTGCAATATAAAGGGGGTGTTATTCAATCATGGTTTTTAATAGAGTTTAAATCCATCTATAATCTATTGTTATTCAATAATTGATTTTGATTTCTCCTTCAAAATCCAATGTTATTGGTTCATGTATTTACAATCTCTTCATTAATAGACTTTGAAATCCATTGTTATTCAATTAAAGAGTTGAATAAGTCAATTAAAATCTTATGTTATTCATGTTTAACAGATTCTTACAACTGATTTTAAGTGAAAGATTTTAATTGAATTTGAACCTATTTTTATGTGTTAAATATAGCAATCAAAATCTAACCTTTTACCCTCAGATTTTGATAATTATAAAATTCAATACAAATAATTATTAACATTTGTTTTTTTCTTTCTTCCCTCCATGTATTAATCCATCGAATACATCATTCTTCATCCCTCCAATTTTTTTTCTTTTCCCTCCATTTTGTCTTTTCATTCTTCATACGTCTTCTTTTTTCCTAGTCCATTTCTCTCTCCATTCTCTCTTTCCATAAGTCAACAAGCCATTTATTATGAAAACTCAATTTCTCACTATTCTCTCTTTTCTTTAGCACACATTTCTCTCTCTTCTCTCTCTCCCTAAGTCATCAAAGAAAAAATAATATCTTTCTGGATTAGCAATTGTTCTGATTTTTGTTTTGATAATTTCTTTGCCATGTTTATAGAGACTAGTGAGATTTTTTACTTCGACAAAATTTTTTGAGAATTCTTTTCTATTAGATTTTAAATGATAGCATGTGACTTTCTAAATACACTGCTAAGTAATTTAAAATTTTAAACAACTCATATACATTAGATTCTAAAGGAATTAAAAAATTTTAAAATCTGATATACTCTAATCTAGTGGAGTTGATTTCAACATACAGATTGAATAACACCCCAAAAGGAAAATCTGAATCCTGAGAGAGAGGAGGAAGGAAAAAGTGATGGATTTGGGAAAGTAATGAAGAAGTAGAATGGATTTTGGAACTTCTTTGCGAACTTAAATAATAGAAAATGGAGGAAGTGAGTAGTCATGTCGAATAAATGCGACCGTATGAGAGAGAGAGGAATAACTGCTACTTTCATTAATGCGTTATTGAAAATATATGATTTTTACTCATATACTGCGATATTCGAACATTCGTCTATATTACTAAAATGTTGGCATGTTATATATCATCAAGTTATTGTCAATTTTTCTGATGAAAATTTTCAACCAATCATAAAAATTTCTCCAAAGATAAATTATCAAATGTCATAAAATTAAACACCAAGGTTCTTAGGAAAAAAAAAAGAGATTACATATATGAATTGTTCATAAAAAAAGAGGCTTCATGTGAATTTCGATGACATTTCAGACCTCTTCCTCTTTATCTTCTTTATCTCTCCCTTCGAACAGAGACGTAGAAAATCTCATTTATGTTTAAAAAATCATATAGCCTAAATTTGTATTCAATATTATTATTTAATCATGAGTTATGTCTACAATTAAAATTTAAAAACCAAACAACATCAACTGATTATAATCCAGTTATATAGATTTCAACTTATTTTAGATTTGCTATAACCAAAAAATGACTAATTACTTACACATTCGGATGTGTCCATGTTTCGAATTTCTCTCTCCACGAATCCGCAATGCATGCACTTCAATCCTATCTCCAGATCCAGAATCAATTTGTGTTCCGGTTTTGTATAACGTGTGTGGGGAGTTTTATCGACTGAGATGTCTTTGTCCTTCTCCTCAAGAAAAAAAAATATAGAAATTTTTACTCATGATCAGGACATATTTTATAAACCATTAAACAGAGAGAATATATTACCTTTAGAAAATTTTGCTTGACTTGATCATTTGATTTGCTGAGGAGATGAAATTGTTCCCACAGCTCTGCTTGCTCGATCTCAGAATCAGTTGGCAAAGGTGGCGACTTAGGTTCCACCACACCAAATCTCATTATCAAAGGTGGTGGGTTGATGATTAGCAGACCATTCTCATCATATTTTTTTCCATCTGATTTCTCCATTTTGTTTATGTATTGTTATAAACGATGAGACTACTTGAAGAATTATTGAAGTAAAATATCTCAAGTGTCTATATAGAGTGGGCAATAGTATTCACTTTTCATGAATTTCAAATTTTTTGGGGAAGACTACTAGATTACTAAACATTGTTTAAATATTTTTAGTGTATAGACAATGTTCCCTGGATATTTGTCTACTCAGCATTTACTCACGTGAGAGGAATTATTTTTTGTATAGACGCGTTGCATGGACGGAAAACGAGGAAAGAAGGAATGACGCGTTTATTTATCTCTGTAAAAGTGAATAGATAAATATATAATAATAACTGTCTAAAAGATAATCACGCCACATGTTTAACCGTTGCATTAGTGTTGGTAGTTGTACCAGTCTTACGGCTGTTAATGCTTGATAATTGTACCAGTCTTACAGTCATTGCATTAGTGTTGGTTGTTGTACCAGTCTTTCATTAACTGACGTAAGACTGGTACAACTACAACACTATATTTGATTTTTACCAATACATTAAGTTAATAAATATTTTTTTGATTTACTAGGGGAGAGAAAGATGTGACTTGTAACTTCTCCGCACGATAAGGCTGAACAATTGAAGGGTATTTATTATATGAGTCACACCCTAGGATTTTTCTTTCTCTTTCTATAAATATAACTCGCTCTCTCTCTCACTCATATCTATCTTCTAAATCCTCTTCTCTCTATCTAGTGCTATCGTTGCTCTCTTTATCACTTCAAAATGGACCCTAAGGCGTGGATCATGACTCAACTGAGGGAGTTGCTGCGGTTTCCGGCGAATAGGTTCAGTGCAGGGCCGGTGGCAGAAGACATTTACGAATGGCAAGCAACGCTGTTGGGCCACACTAGTAGTCCATACAAAGGGGGCATCTTCTTCATCTCCATCCGTTTCCCACCGGAGTACCCCTTCAGGCCACCAATGGTGTCGTGGATGCCGATTCTGCACCCCAACATCGATAAACCCCGCGTCTTCCATCCGCTACTCGTCACCGCTACCTGGAGGGTTGGAACGACAGTGAAGGAACTCCTCCAAGCGCTCCATGACATGCTGCTTCACCCTAAGGTGGAGGAAGAGGACAACTGTTGGGGTCGGTTTCACCCCAATCGGATAAAACCATCTCGAAAATGACCAAGTACCGGAGAAAACCAATTAGGCAAGAAGGAACAACTGCCCGCCAGATACGAACCGAGCCGACCCACGAAACAAGTGGGCCGAGCTGTGCTCACCAAGACGAGTGGACCGAGCCGTGGAAAAAGATGGATGGGCCGAGACGTGAGAGGAGTAGGCCAAACTCAAGTGGGCCGAACCGTGAGGAGGAAATGGGTGAGCCGTGTATGAGAGAAGATAGGCCAAGCTGTACACTAGTGAAGATGGGCCGAACCGTGCAAGAAGGAGAGTGGGTCGAGCCGTTACCTTTCGAGATTGACCGAACCAAAGTCTTGAAGGGAGAAAGCCCATAAAAACCCTAGGCGATGCCTTGAGGCGGTGGCCGCATAAAGCGATAAGGAAATGTTCCTAAAATCTCTCCCGAGATTCTCGGCTAGGCGGTTTAGAAAGTTAGTATAAATAGACAATGTATGCAATTCATTCGGAAACTTCGGAAACCCTAAGCAACAATACCTAAACACTTTCACAGCAATAAAAACCTTCTTTGATCTTACTGTTCTTGCGATTACCCTAGAAATTTTGGATCCCTTAGTTTTTTCTTACAAATCTTTGGTTGTGCGAGTTTTGGCTCACACAATTTGGCGCCGTCTGTGGGGAGTCGAAACTTTCTTACTCTAAATCGACGAGACTTTAAGATCCAAAGAACATGGCGAGCAACACCCTCGACGATAACAACAACAACAACAACAACGATAACGGCGCGGAGAAGGACGCTCCAGCATCAGGCGCAACGACGGCGACGACCGAAACCCAAGAGGAGATGCGAAACATGATGGCTGCGTTGATGAAGAAGATTGACGAGCAGGACAAAAGAAACGAGACGATTACAGAGAGGCTCGACGCGATGGCGGCCGAGCAACGACACCCAACTTGGAGAACCGAAATCTCCGACCCGATAGATGGAATCCGGAGACGCTTCGATTTCTCAACGCCTGCAGAGGCCTTGGGAAGCGGCGCAAGGAATCCCTTGGCTCCACCAATGTTTCGTCCTCTCGGCGAACAGACTCCCGCGGCAACCCTAGTCAACATGACCGAGCCGCCTCCACTCTGTCGGAACTCAAGGCGACGAGCCGGCGAAGAGGAGAATGACGCGATCGACGTGGACGCCCAACAGCACGATGGAACCACGAACTCGCAACAGAACGGCTCGGCTTGGCGAATAAGCCAAGAAGAGCTCGCCTCGGCACTAAATGGCGTCCGGACTGACGAAATCACCGATCTGGCTCGCGGCGACAACCCAACTGAAGAAGAAGAAAACCTCCAATGGATCGAGCAGGCGGAACGCGAAGACGAGCCGAGGAGAGAAGAGTGGGAACGACTCCCCCAATCAAAGGGAATGACTCACGCGCAAACCCTTGAAATCAAAGAGCTGCGAGCCTCAATGGCTCGGACAGTAGCCGAGATACGCGCCATGAAGTCTCAAGTGCATAACGCGACGAGTGCTGCGCCCGAGATCGATCGGATGCTTGAAGAAACCCAGAGAACACCGTTCACGGCGAGAATCACGGAGGCTATGATTCCCGAGCCCGGGAAGGTGAGAATACCGTTCTACGAAGGAACGACCGATCCGAAAGCACACATCACAGCGTTTTGGATAGCAATGGGATGAGCTTTCATGAAGAATGCTGCCAAACTGACCGAGCGGGAAGTAGATGCCGGATATTGCTTGCTCTTCGTGGAACATCTCAAGGGAACCGCGCTCGAGTGGTTTTCGAGGCAGGAGCGCAATTCAATCGGCAGTTTCCAACAGCTCTCCGCCTTGTTCCTTAAACAATACTCGATGTTTATGGATAGAGGAACTTCTGATGCCGACCTGTGGACGCTATCCTAAGGACCGAACGAACAGCTTCGGGATTACATGGCAAGGTTCAAGGCAGTCGTATCCAAAATAGAAGGAATAAGCGACAAAGCTGCACTCGAAGCTCTGAAACGGTCTTTGTGGTACAAATCCGAATTCCGACGGGAAATGGCACTCAACACGCCACAAACGATTCAAGATGCCTTGCATCGGTCATCAGACTTCGTCGTAAACGAGGAAGAGATGAAGAATCTGGACGAGCAGTACGAAGCAACGAAAGCAGCAATCCGAAGCTCAATTTTGACGCGCCCCTCGAAGAAAGGCAATCCATCAAACAACGCAACAACGCAGAGCTCGGACAAACCTAGAAGCGGAAGTGCCCATAACTACCAAGTAGGCACTGGACGCGGAAGAGGAGAGCCGCGCAACAACACTTGGGTAAGAAAGCCCACCAACTACGACGAAAAGGCATTCTGCGAGTATCACCAGACCTACGGGCATTCAACGGCACAATGCCGAACTCTATAGCAAAACTCGCAGATAAGATGGCGGCGGGAGAGCTCCAGAACGCGGTTAACCTCAAAGACCTCGTCCCTAATGAAACAAAAGAAGGAGCCGAGCCGAGCGGCGCGGCAGAACCCGCAAATCCTCCCCGAAGGAGCGATAACACCAAGCGCGACAGGAGAGGCGAACCCGAAGAGCGACCCGAGCCGAGGCAAAGGATCAACATGATCATGGGTGGATCTCAATATTACCAAGATACGATGTCCTCCATCAAAGCTTATCAGCGCCGAGCCGAAGCGAAGGAAAATTGGACAGAACCGACCGATATCCCGAATACAGTGATCTCCTTCGCCGAGGAGGAAACGGCAGGAATCGATAGGCCACACAACGATCCACTGGTGATCGAACTGACGATCAGGGATCATGATGTAGTGAGGGTGCTCATCGATACTGGGAGCTCGGTAGACGTCATTTTCTGGGAGACACTCAGAAGGATGGGAATCGATCTCTCCGAGGTGACGGCGATCCCCAAACCTCTAACCGGATTTTCAGGAGAAACAATGATGACTATGGGAATAATTAGGCTCCCTGTGGTAGCTGGCGGAGTCACTAGGATCATCGAATTCTGCGTCACCGATCACCCAGCAATCTACAATGCGATTATGGGAACTCCATGGATCAACGCGATGAGGGCGGTCCCTTCCACCTATCACGTCTGCCTCAAATTCCCGACTCCAGCAGGCATCAAAACGATCTGGGGAAATCAGAAGGAGTCGTGAATGTGCTGCTTCGCAGAGCACAAGCTGAAGAATCCCGTCACCGATGCACGAGCAGACATAGATCGCAAAAAGATGAAGACGTACCGATGATGTTGAGTGGTGACTTGATGTGGGTGTCAAGGGTTGTCAAGTTTTACCCTAAATGAAATCAATAGCCGCAAGTGCACAGCTGATCGATTGTAGTACTTAGGGATCGAATCCACAGGGAAGGAGGATCTTTTCCTCCAAATAGCCTTTGAAATAAGTATAAAGTAAGGAAGTCTAGAACCAAATGGTTTAGTGGGGGTTTGGTAGTGTGTTTAAAATGTAAAAATGAAATATTAAAAGAGAATACGGGAATTAAATGACGTAATAACTAAACTTAACGAAAATGACTAAAAATGTAAGAAACGGATATCTAATTGCTTAAATGAAGATGAACTAAAAAGGAAAGACAATATTGAACTAAAGCTTGAAAGAAAATCGGTGTAAATCAATGGGAAAGAAGGCGTTGGGGTTCAGGGAAGTTTTCTCAAGGTACGAACGATTCAAAACATTGCTAGAGAGGAAATTTGATAAGATCTTAGCTTAAACTTTTCGAACTGGAGTCACGGACGTATGAATACGCCACTGTCGTGATCATAGACAACTATCTCTCTCAACCCTGACCAGTAGGTTTCCACTCTGGCCCTAGAAGAGAAGAGATGCATTATGTTTAAGACTCGTCATAATTCACAAATCGCCCATAGGTAGGTTTCCACTCCTATGTTTGTTTTGCTCTCCCAAACTAGATCTGATACCTGATGAACACTTTCGTGTCACCAAGCATCTGGATCAGATTGTAGTTCATGACGCTACTTTTATGCAGTAAAAACGAATTCAGAAGAAAAAGTTCTAAGATTCGGCTCAAAAGCTCATGTAATCCTCATCGAACATATAATCCCCATCGAAAATCCCTTAATCCCAACAATAAAACTACTCAGACATGATGAACGAAATCAAAGACATAGTATTAAGAAGAAGAATAGAAACCGAAACTGAAAAAGAAAGAACAAGGGTTCAAGAGAACAAATCTCTCTCTCCCTAAAAGCTAAAGCAAAAACAATAAAAGTATGAAGTAATGATAGATGGTATTCGGTTATTCTCGTTTAGGGTTCCTAAGACATGTATTTATAGTGCTCAAGACCTCTCTGGACGTCACTTAGGGTTTCTCCAAATGTGGGCTTCAGAAATGGGCTTTTTGGGCTCGGAGGTTGATGGCCGTGGTCGGGACAAGTGTGACCGCGGGGAACGAGTGTTTTGCCGCGGTCGGGATGCTCCTGACCGTGGTGAATGAGTGTTTGGCCGCGGGTGGAAGTGCTTGCCGGCTGGTTTACGGGACATCTTGCTCTTCGCGAATCTTTTGATTGAACCGTTGGATTGCCAAGCTGTAAAGTGCACTGGAAAGCTGATACTTCCATCTTTAAGGTCTCCAAATTTGAGCTGGATCAGACAGTGAGAAGGCCTTCAATCAGGGGTGAACTTCTGACGGTTTGACTCTGAGCTGAAATCTGGTTTTCTATCCATTTTGTTAAGCTTTTCCCTATGTTACCTGAAAAGAGTCTTGGAACTACAAATACTAGAAAAACGTAATAAAAGTACTTAAAAACAATTAAAAACATAGAAAAAGTATTTCAAAACGATACATAAAAGTGGTCAAAATACGGTGTTATCAACTCCCCCAGACTTAAACCTTTGTTTGTCCTCAAACAAAGCAAAAGCATAAACTGGTTAAGTGACAACAAAAATAGGAAATACACAAATCTCATAGACATGAACTCCTAAACTAGGACCAAAGATAGTGCATCAATCCACAACTTAGTCTAGAAAATTCTCACCAATGCACAAGAGATACTAGTCCACTTTTTCCGTCATGCAAAACTTAAACAATCTAAATCTTGATTCCAGTCAACTAGCTCTCTACATTCATTAAGTTCAATAGTGAGTTCTCATTAAAGACATCATCCAGGGTAGACGGCGTTTGGCATTAAAGGGCTATTTAAGTGGTGGAGTTAAAGTGTTTCGGGTTATCTGAAGATCTGGAGGATGCAAGATAATATGCAAAACCGCAAGAGAGATAAGGACCTGTTGATGACCACAGTTTTCAGTCACTTCTTCTTGCCAAATGTTGTTGCATAATCCTTCCTTTTTTGTTGTAAACAGCTATTCCCCAAGACTTAGATTCTTTCCGGGAATCAGAAAACAATCTCCAAAACTCCATAAAATCGAACTCCAGTTGCCTTAGGACTTAAAATTCGACCTCTCTAGACTCTCTAAGGCTTTTATTTCCTTTCTTTTCTTATTTTCGGATTATTTTTTTTTTTTTTTGAACGGAAATGTCTTTTAAAGAGAGAGAGACTAGAGAACGAGATTGTACCAAAATTTGAGATTTTTCTAAGGCAAACTGAGCTTCCTCTTGTGTTGAATCCTTCCGGGAACTTTTCCGGCAAATCGCAGGTCTCTGTCCTTGGTGACTGAAAACTGCGTCGTTCCTCTTTCTCTCCAACGTTTTTGCACTTATCTGCATATAAGACAATAGAAAACAAGAGTGCATGTGGTTTGAAAGAGGATTGGTTAAGGTGGGGAACTAGCTAAAGATGAACTAGCCATTCAAGATCAACAGAGAGTGGTAAAAAGATAAAGGAGTCCTGAATGTATGATTCGTTTCCTTGGTCTAATGCTTCAATGAAAAAATTAAGTCCAAATTAAGTCCAAATAAAACAGAGCTAGTGTATCCCTTCATCTAAATCGAAATCATTCAAATTCCTCTGGGGTACTTCGTTTCAAATGTGCTTAGCTACCGCCTACTCTAGTCCTAAATCATGAATGAGCATGTCACTAGGAACAATCTAAAGCACACAGTCAACTATCATTGATTTATGTTAACCATTCCCTTTAAAACGTATTTTGTTTTGAAAACCGATTTTGAAAAACTTTAAGGAAAATGCAAAAAGTGTAGATAATGCAAGACTCATGAAAGAAAAGTGGTTAGAAAGGGATGAAATCCTCCTCCAGACTTAAATGACACTGTCCTCAGTGTGAAACAAGTCAAGATTGGATGAGAAAAATGCATAGATAATCGAATTGGTAAAGACAAAGAGAACTTACCTGGATCCGGGATGCTGGTGGAGATGAACCGGATTCATTCGAAGGGGTTTGGGAAGGTGATTAGTTGGTTGAAGGTGGTGGAAGGTGATGAATGATGTGGAGGGTGATTGGTGAGGTGAAATGAGGTGAAAGGGATGGTTTGGGTCGGGTTTGGATCTCAACAACCAATTGCCGCGGTCAGGGGCCATACGACCACGGCAACCAAGCGTTTGGCCGCGGTCAGGATCACGCGACCGCGGTCGATGATAGGTTTCCCGCGGTCAGAACATCTGCGACCGCGGGGGCTTATATCGCGGCCTCTTCCTGCTTCTCCTTTGTTCCTGCTGGGCCGAGCAGTCAGGTACCATCCTTTTTTTTGGTTTTTTTCGGTTTTTTTATTTTTTTGGCTTTTTTGTTTTATAAGAAACACCTGAAACTAAGAAAAAGAAAAAGATCAAAAGAAAAAGAAAGAAAAATTCTAAAGAAAACAATACCTAAATGGGTTGCCTCCCATTAAGCGCTTTTGTTTTAAGTCGTTTAGCTCGACTTTTGGTGTTGGACGTGACTTATTCCAATGAAGAAAACCTTGTCCTGAGACAAGTCTTTTTCGACATCTCCTTGCTTTGCCTAGCAGGTTCTTTGTCACTCCAAAGTTCTTCTTCAAACTCTTCTGTTGCAGAACGTTTTCCTGCTTTGCTGTTGTATGGGACAGCTTCTGTGAAGACATCTTTGTCGATATTAGCAAATGAAATCCTCCGGTTTGGCCAGTCCATTATAACTCCGAAAGTTGCTAGAAAAGACCATCCGAGAATCACTGGATATGTTGCATCTCTCGTCTCGACAATGTAGAAGTCGACATGCACTATGCAATCTCCTATTCTCAAAGGAATTTTATGAGCTATTCCTTGAGGTGTTGCATTTGAATCATCAGCTAGGCTAATCTTTGCTCTAGTCCTGCGCAGGTGTCTAATACCAAGTCTCAAAGCAATTGCCTTGGACATCATGTTAAGACAAGCTCCAGAATCACATAACACGTTTTTAAACATTTCTCCTCTAATAGAACAAGAGATAAGAAACTGACCTACACCTTCGATTTTGTGAAGTGTTCGAACAGGTTTACCTTTTCTTGCATGATTGAACAAGTCTTCTATCTCAGGGATTGATTCTTTGCTCTCACAGAAGTAGTGGCCTATCATAAAGTCCTTGCAAGCTCTGGAAAACGTGATTCCTTCAGGCAAATTTCGAACCACATCATTGAATTCGTCGAGCTTTTCTTTGCTGATTTTGTTGGTGTAGTGGCTGCACTCTTCCGGATTTTTGAGGTGAATCGCATAGACAGCTGCTTCTGGTGTTGTCATGTATCGAGCTCTCATAAAGTATCTATGGATATCCTATTTAGACTCCTTGAAGTACCAAGTTTCCAGATTTCATCAAAGCTTAAATGAGCAGGGAATGACCTGACTACGTTGTTGAACTCCATTAGCTTCTCTCTACTGATGTTGTTGGTGATCCATTGAATTTCTCCTGAGTCATCTTCTGAGGAATATCCTGCGTTTGGATCTTCTACAAACAATCCATACTCTTCATCTTCAGAGTATTGTTCTTCATACTCATCTTCACAAGACAAAGCCATGTTGCAAGGCCGTGACTTGTCCTCTTCTTCAGATCTTTGGGTGCTTATGGAGCAAACCAGTTGTTGATGAAGCGGTTTAGTCATCCCAGGAGGTGTACCAGACGTACAGATGCTTGTATGAGCTGAACGGGACTGTTTTGGAACGTTTTTACGGTTGGCCTTGACTGCAGGTGCCGCGACCGTGGGGAAACGACAATGGGCCGCGGGTAGACCCATCACGACCGCGGGAGAACGCTTGTTGGCCGCGGTCGGAGCCAACGCG